CCCAATTTTTCAGTTTTTTATTTGTTAAAAAAGTTTGAAATATCCAATAAATTTCGTTCCACTTCATGATTGTGTCCCACTTGTTGTTGATTCTTCACAAAAAATTACAGTTTTATATTTTTGTTTGAAGCCTGAAATGTGGCAAAAGGTCGCAAAGTTCAAGGGGGCCGAATACTTTCGCAAGGCACTGTATATACTATTGTGCTGGGTGTGAAAACCTGTGCTGTGTGTTGTCTTTGTTTTGTACTATTTTATTGAGATACAGTGGTGTGAAAAAGTGTTTGCCCCCTTACTGATTTCTTATCTTTTTGCATGTTTGTCACACTGTAATGTTTCAGATCGTCAAACAAATTTATATATTAGTCAAAGATAACACAAGTAAACACATCATGCAGTTTTTAAATGAAGGTTTTTATTATTAAGGGAAAACAAAATCCAAAACTATAGAGCCCTGTGTGAACAAGTGTTTGCCCCCTAAACCTAATAACTGGTTGGGCCACCCTTAGCAGCAACAACTGCAATCAAGCGTTTTCGATAACTTGCCATGAGTCTTCCACAGCGCTGTGGAGGAATTTTGGCCCACTCATCTTGGCAGAATGGTTGTAAGTCAGCCACATTGGAGGGTTTTCGGGCATGAACCGCCTTTTTAAGGTCATGCCACAGCATCTCAATTGGATTCAGGTCATGACGTTGACTAGGCCACTCCAGTCTTCATTTTGTTTTTCTTCAGCCATTCAGAAGTGGACTTGCTGGTGTGCTTTGGATCATTGTCCTGCTGCAGAACCCAAGTTCGCTTCAGCTTGAGGTCACAAACGGATGGCCGGACATTCTCCTTCAGGATATTTTGGTACACAGCAGAATTCATGGTTCCACTTATCACAGCATGTCTTCCAGGGCCGGAAGCAGCAAAACAGCCCCAGACCATCACACTACCACCACCATATTTTACTGTTGGTATGATGTTCTTTTTCTGAAAGGCGGCGTTACTTTTACGCCACACATAATGGGACACACACCTTCCAAAAAGTTCAACTTTTGTCTCGTCTGTCCACAGAGTATTATCCCAAAAGTCTTGGGGATCATCAAGATGTTTTCTGGCAAAACTGAGACGAGCCTTTATGTTCTTTTTGCTCAGCAGTGGTTTTCGTCTTGGAACTCTGCCATGCAAACCATTTTTGCCCAGTCTCTTTCTTATGGTGGAGTCATGAACACTCACCTTAACTGAGGCAAGTGAGGCCTGCAGTTCTTTGGATGTTGTTGTGGGGTCTTTTGTGACCTCTTGGATGAGTTGTCGCTGCGCTCTGGGGGTAATTTTGGTCGGCCGGCCACTCCTGGGAAGGTTCTCCACTGTTCCATGTTTTCGCCATTTGTGGATAATGGCTCTCACTGTGGTTCGCTGCAGTCCCAAAGCTTTAGAAATGGCTTTATAACCTTTTCCAAACTGATAGAGCTCAATTATTCTCTTTCTCATTTGGTTTTGAATTTCTTTGGATCTCGGCATGAAACAGGTGTGGCAGTAATCAGGCCTGGGTGTGGCTAGAGAAAATGAACTCAGGTGCGATAAAACAGTGTTTTGACAGGGGGGCAAACACTTGTTCACACAGGGCTCTATAGTTTTGGATTTTGTTTTCCCTTAATAATAAAAACCTTCATTTAACAACTGCATGATGTGTTTACTTGTGTTATCTTTGACTAATATATAAATTTGTTTGACGATCTGAAACATTACAGTGTGACAAACATGCAAAAAGATAAGAAATCAGTAAGGGGGCAAACACTTTTTCACACCACTGTACTTCCAAAACAAATTTCCCTATAGGGAGAGACAGACAGATAGTCACCTTTATTTGGGCAAGTATGTTACACACACAAGGAGTTTGTTTCCGGTACAGAACCGAGGCAGCCATCTGCGGCACCAAGTCACACCAATGACTCTAACCATTGGGGGCAACTTGGGGGTTCAGTGTCTTGCTCAAGGACACCTCGACATGGGGACTGCAGGCACCAAGATTCAAACCACTGACCCTCTGGTTGGGAGATGACTGCTCTACCCACTGAACCATAGTTGCCCCCAGTAGATACAGTAGATAGATAGATAGAACCTTTAACCACTAGATGGAGCTCAATAACCTACACTTTTCTCTGTACATTAGCAGCATTCATGCAACACTCAGTGAGATTCAGTAGCCAAATAACACTCAAATTATAATGTACTCATCTGTAACTGATTGTTTTAACAAGTGCACTCAGATCACACAGAAATCCAGCTGATTTATGTTCATCATTTGTTTTTAATACCACTTGGATCTTTTTAATATCTTTCAGTGTTTATATTTAGCCTCATTCTTTTCCAGAGGGGAGGATTGAAGTACATTGTATAATAGTGTGTTTCAAATCTCTGCTTTTTCATCCCTGCACGTGGTACCCGACATGCACAGTTATATACAGTGTGAAATTGATTCATTTCTTAGTTTGTTTGCCTAATTATATGCCAGGGATGTGAACACAAGTCAAGGGAGAGTAAAACAAAGCAATTGCAAGACAAGTGGAAAATCAAAGTGGTAGTTGAGGACAAACATGTAAATTCAGTGAAACAGCAGTCACTCCAAAAGACTTCAGAACTGTAAACCTGTTACCCCTTTGTAAGCCAGGCAGGAAAATGTCATCATTTGTCTTGTCTCTGTCTGGCCAAACAGTTTTTCAGAATTGTAAAAATTAAAAAATATAAATAATTGTCATTTTCTCTAGTAAAATAATTTACTTGGCCTCTAAAATGTCATTTTCACTATATTCACCACTGAATCTATTACGCAGGGCTGCAGACAGTCCCACACGATGTTTAACGCATCGTTTCTCACCATAGTGGGAATGTATATGTGATACACAGCACATTGTGGGTTTACAGTGGGTCTATGATCTGCAATATGGTACCAGGGTGATTTACTCTTCCTATCCTTTCTCTCCCAACTGTTTAATTATATAGAGCAGATTTATTTAACACCACACATAATGTTTAAATGAGTACAGTAGAGCATACTGATGGCCAGTGGAACCATGACATCATGTACTTTAATCCATTTAAGTGTTACCCTCCCTCCTGCACTAGTTTGCATCACTCTTCTGTCTGAATAAAAATAATCTTTGAACGTGTGTCTGCATGCATTTATGTGTGTGTGTGTGTGTGTGTAGATATCAGCTGCACGCATGAAAGCACTGTATACTGTATGTAGGTGGCACTCCATCAGTAGATGGATTGTTTTGGGTACTGATTGCTAGACAGCATAATGGCAGTCAGCATCAAAGTCACAGTAATTTGGTGTGTGTGTGTGTGTGTGTGTGTGTGTGTGGTGCATCTTAATTTCAAAGCCTCTCTTGTTTGGCTTACATTATAAATTTTTGATGAATAATGCACAACACTAATCTCTTAAGATTTCGTTTAAACATGAGGCATCAGCTGTACTGCGGGTTCTTCTGATGTGTATCTAGTTTCCTATTCTTTAATGCACTGGGCCACCCAATAAGAACACCACATCCCGCAAGTATCCATCTGCATTGATAGAAATGTTGTAAGGTCGCCAGCACAGTGATGGCTAGCCTGACAAAGTGGAGGACAGGTGGACAGGTTGAAAAAGTCGCCTGGTCTCTTATCGTCTTGTTTTTAATAGTTCATTTCATGGGTATTTATTTCTAATACTCTATGAGAGAGGTTGCAGACACTTTCTAGATGAATAAAATGAACCTTGACACCTGAATAATAACATAACGACATGCTTCCTATGGAGGGTATTGTGACAGTGGGTCGGTACTGACACACCTGGGGACTCTAGCAGTAGAGCTGGACACATAGGGCTCCTCTCCTCCTGTCAGTGAGCGCTGCCAGATGCAGCCATGTTGGAAAAACTCAGGCTCCAGCAGCAGCAGCAGCAGCAGCGCTAAGAGCTAACGTCAGTGGACACCGACAACCGGGCACGGCGCTGTTGTGGACACAAACAGACAGGGAGAGAGACACATAACGGAGAGATAAACCACCAAGCCGGTTCTAATATCAGCAGATGTATCTGCAAATTTCAAGCCTACTGGCTGGGAAAAGCACTCGTTTGAGGAGAGTAGGTGCTGCTGGTCTTCGTGGCTAAAACGGGTGAGTATTGATCTCTTTTGGGGGCGGATTGGGTGGGAATAGCCCACCGTTAGCGGAGCTAGCTTAGCATTAAAGGGGGTAACGCACGCAGACAATAGAGTTAACGCCAAGGCAATACGCGGGGGTGTGTTTTTTAGGGGCTGGTCGTGGGGTTTCTGGTGAAATACGGTGGAGTGAATGCTATGAAACGGTGGTCATTTTGACACAGCGGAGTCATTTGTATTCCTAACAGACAGACAGTGGTGCAGTGGCCGAAACCACCCCTCTGTGTTTCTCCGGTAAATGCAAAGGTCCAAGCCGAGGAGGGTTTATGTCATGCGGAGCGTGTAGCTAAACATCTGGGTTTTGTTGAACAACGAGTTGCTCAGACTGAGATTCATTGCTGCAAGCAGCGGTGTTGAGACAAAAGGGGTAGTTCTTACTTAACCCGAGCGTCTCAAGTGTTCTGGGTTGCATGCTGCCTTGTCAGCCACCAATCCTAGACACTTATCGCTGTGTTAGGGCTGATTGAAGTGTATTCTTTTTTTAAGCAGCCCCATGGTTAGTGGGATTAAATGTTTAGGTGTGAACTAAACACGATGAACAGCAGCTCTATGGATGTGACACGTCTTTTTCTTTTGGGTTTCAGGGGGGTTTGCGTCAACGCTGCCCTGTCCTCTTCTGTTTTCCTGCCTCTTTCCAATTTATTTCCTGCCTTTCCATGAGTTTTGACCCTGATCACATCCTTGTACCCACCCGATAGCAGCGGCCAATCTGCAAGGTCAGGACCCTGAAGTGTATCCTCTTTCTGTGTAGATATTATTTAAAGAATAGTTCATTTTTGTCAGATTGTATGTCCATTCAGTGTAGCTGTCAGACCTAAAAGCCTGACTCATGCATATCCAGAATTTTCTCCATGTCTTTTAACATGTTTTTCTTGTCTTAGCACTGTGCACATATGAAGAATCTTTCTCACGTTAGTTGCACTGATAAGTAGAATTCTTCATTTTTATACACTTGGTGAACTTGTACTTTTCAGTGGTTTTGTTTGGATGGGGAAGCCAACACTGAGCATGTTGGATCGATCCTTTCACTTGTCTGCTTTCAGTCAGGGCCAGATAAGACAGATGGGAAGTGAAGTGGGAAGAGAAGAGGAGAAGGAAGCGGCTGTTTGGAAATGAAACTCGGCCTCAAGGTGTGTCAGTCCAAAGCAGTCAGTGGGCGGGTGTTTTCCCTCTCCTATAACTGACAGCGTTACAGTACAACTAGGAAGTGGAGAGACAGGAGAGGGACACATAAGGGCACACATAAGCGGAGGGTCAGTCCTCTGTGTACTGACTGCCAACATGCAGTTCTGGGATTTCCTGGGCTGCGCCAATGCAGGTATGTATAGGCATACTGATGGCTCGGTGAGTGTGATCAGACTAGTGTGTTCGTGTTCTGTGCTAGACAGGTAGAGAGGGTCTGCCAGGCTGAGGGCTGGAAAGGAATTTGTGCTGCTCACCGCTTGTGCAAGCAGTTGCATGTGAGGACCTCACACACAGGTAGAGTGTGGAGCACAGACAAAGCTGCAGAAGGCTCTGATATGGTGTCAGCTCACTCTGTCTTCCTTTAATAAACCTGGTGGGTTGCTTCTGACAACAAATCTGATGAATAAATTGGCACAAATGAAGTATTTGCTTGAATCGGTTGCTTTGACTGTTCTTGTGTCTTGCTCACTATGAAACATAGCATGAATGTGTGCTGTCCTATACACATGTATACATTTTATGACTTGTTTACCTTCTGTTTTAAGCTGTTTTTTCTTATGATGTGTGGACACTTTTAATTTCCTACAAACCTAAAGCTGGGCTGTAACCATTATGTATTAGTCTTGCTACAACTGTTACAGTCATTGCTATTCTTATTGTGTCTCCACCACTGTGACTACAAAGTGCTGTTATACTTCAAAGACACTAATGACATCTATGATGACAAAAGCCAAAGACAGGACTCTTTTGGACAGCCATATCTGGTCAGACCTGTACCACAGAGTGTTAAACATCACGTTTCTGTTGCTGTATAAATGCAACCAAACAGGCCACAGTGATCAAATGTCAATTAACGTGTCCACAAGGCTACATGTAGACAGCTGAATGTGTGGAGTAAATGTCTGGCAATTGATACTTTAGCGGTAGGATATTGTTAACAAGCAAGCAGTGAGCAGTTTTTGTTAAGTAAAGCTTGTTATGCTCTGGCTTTGGTTACCATTTTAACAAGCCCACATGTGTGCCAATGCAGTTGAATACAGATGGATCACAGACCCATGGAAATGAAAGCATTATATAAAAACAAAAATACAGCCTCTTAATCTATAAAGGATGTAGCCAAGATCTCTGCCTCATATTCTCAGTGAAGAAGTGTTGTCTCCCATCTTGCCTCAGTTATGGTTGCTTTGTTTGTGCTGTATTGAATTCCACGATACCCATCCTGTGCCCCGGGCCATGTTCTCTGTTACTGCAATGATAACTACAGCTAAGAGATGCCTGATGGCTTTTGTGATATTCTTCAGTTATTGGCAAGTATCACAAACAGAATACAATATTGTCAGATCTACACTACCTGTCCCACTGAGCTGAACTGGAAAGTGGGTCCAAACTTTTGAATGGTAGTGCAACAGTGTGTTGTCACAGAGTTTTGTTCTTCAGCTGATTCGTCCGTGACAAATGATTGATTGAAAATATGATCGATCTGTTCACTCTCCAGCGCAAAGCATCGTCACAGTGAGTTTGTTGATGCTGTATTTATCATTTCTTTAAGAGAATAGCGAGCTGTCTGGAAAGACTAGTAAAAGTGTGACTGGAAACATCTGCTCGTGTTGTCTTCACCCATTTGCATCCATAGCTCAATGTTTTGTTTAATGTATTCTGTGTGGTCAGCACTCACTGCCAGGTACTTTTATTTATATTACAGCTTATCAAAAGCTAGAGTACTATAATACTAATATGTGTAGGAAATCACACATATATAGTTCAGAATGTATCTTAATAGCAATTGTTAGGTTACACTAATCAAGCTTATGTGTGGCATATTTGACATTCCCATATCTGAAATCATTTTGACACTTGGCTATATGATAAAAAATCAATATCACAATAATTAGCTGCTTCTGAATTCCATATCCTCCACAACATCATCAGGTTGTCTAGTTGATATGCATCACATTGGGCTGCGTGGTAATTGGATGTCAGACTGAGCATTTCGGCATCATGTTTATTGAATCGTGACTTAAAAAAAGACAGTCACTGATGCATATCAGTGTTGTCCATGTTTTATAAACTACAGCAGCCAGAGCAGTAAGGTAGTGTAGCAGTCAAGTACATAGGCTATTTAAAGTACAGACAGATAAACATAAGCTGGATTCATCCTTCACGTTTTCACTTATGAGGGTGTTTGAGTATGTTGGTGCAAAATCAAGTGTTTTGAAAGTAGGAACAGATAGAGTATATCACCCCAGGGTTGAACAGCTGTGGCTGTAAAATGTTATATCAAGAGGGAATATTTTCTGCAGCCACATTTCTGAAAGTAAACGTGGAGAGGGGTTCATATAAAAATACTTGCACCAAAATATAAATAGTGGGTGTCTAGCAGCAAAATTATTCATTCCCAGTTCCGGAAAAAATTTAGAGATGTGAAGTTTCTGTGGTACCCCAGAGACTGTGGTTTGGGTCGATGTATATCTAAACACTAACTGCACACTGAAGAAGGGCCATAAAACGGCTTGTAAAAGAGCTTGTTTGTGTAAAAAATGTGATTGTAACAGAAGAAGAAACGATAAATCTGTGAATTCAGAAAACAGGATAGCATAAAAGGAGAATCTGAGGGTGCACGGTGCAGTCTCACCCTGTAAATCCATTAACTTTAACTCCAAAACTCTTCTTGAAATGGATGATGTGACTCACAAATGAATTGTGTCCTTCTGTCACGTAATTGATTTGATCCACAGATAAACGTAAAACATCTTAAACTTTAAACATCATCATTTACATCAACAAACTAAAATGATTTGAAATAGGAAAAATATCAGGGTTGGGATTTGATATTTGACCCCAAGCTGGTAAAATATCTGGATTTGTGATGAATCTTTGTGATGAGTCCCATTTCTAATTGCAAAGAGTAGATAGCAAACAAGTTATCTGGCAAAATCTGGAATTAACATTGCTTCTTTCATGCCAGGCTGAGTTTTTGTTTTTAATCTTTGATAACTTTAGTGTAATTTCTCTAACGTTGTATTAAAACAACAGTAGAATCAAGTCTTTGATACAATCGATTCAGTTAAAGGAAGAGTGTAGAACTGTATTTGTTAGGAAAATAATTGACTGTAGTGACTGTTGATGAACAGATGTGAGGGATATTACACCCTAAAGGAATTATACTGAAGTATTCTGTGTACAATTATTGAATGCTATAAACTGATACTGATGCACTGGAACATGGAGTTGGCACTAACAAACTCAGTATGCAATGTCATTTGATTGTGTGTACGAAAGCAGCTGTGCCTACAGGGTGGCCTCACCTGGGTTGCTGGCTTAGCTGTTTTAGAACACAACATCTGAAACAGTTTTAGTGACATCAGCACACGTAAACACTTCTTCTGCTTAACATAACAAATAGGGATGTAAAAAGGGTGTTGCTATACTGTAAATCAGACCATCCTCTGTCTTACTCCTCTCTCTGCAGCAGTACCGCTACTACAATAGCAATGTTTATATCTGCTATTTGCAGTAACAGCTACCTCGTTAAAGCTGTAACTGCGGCCGAGGTGACTTTACTCTGATGTTGCACTCAGTCCTGCACCACGCTCCTCTATTATATTTTGCTCTGACAGGCTGTTGAGTGCAGAGACGCTGCAAAAGGCTGCTGTTGTTTTCTTGATGAGAATGGAGTTGTGCAATGCCCTTAGTGTGGTGTCAACTGTAGTGTAGCCTTTGTTGTTTACAGCCAGAGGCAGTCGTTTTCTACTCCGAGTGGGAAGAAAGAGCGTGAGGGGGAATATGTGATGGAGTAGGTGGGAGAAGCTCTGAGGAGCGTTGATGCTAGTGAAAATGTTATAAGCAGTTCTAAGGACATATGTTTCAGCACTGTTTTCAATAACTGGTCCTAATTTTGGGTCATTATTGGTGGATGTGAAATATTCATATTGTATTTTAAATCTAGCCTCTCTGGTTTTGCTGAGGAATCTCTGCCTAGAGCTTGGCATTTTTCTGTTCTTGTATCTAAAACATTTAAATATCCAGTAAATGTAAACTAAAAGCAGATGTACAGGAAAAAAGAGAGGGCAATAGTGGTTCAGAATTATAGTCATAGCTATATTTTTACCACCAAGAAACATTTCAGTACATGTGCTTTAGCTTTCTTAAACTTGCATCTTGAATGTTTCATTTATCACTAATGAATATTAGAGAATAGTACCAGGATTTGTGATGTGTTGCTTTTGGTAATGGGATCCTATTTGTCGCAAGCATTTTGGACACAACTCTGCCAAGAACAAGCTGGATTATGTGATTAAAGGAATTTATGTGAAATGGCAGAACACACACTGAGCAGCGAAAGGTTTGAGTCAAAGTAAAAGTTAGGAACTCGGAGCGTATTGTTATACAGCTGTCCGAAACTGTAAAATAATTGTTCTACAGTTGTATAACATTTTAATTACAATAACATTTTTATCATTAATACTTTTTAATAATTACAGTATTTTCATTATTTTACCAAGTATTGTTTCTTTTAAAATTAATAAACACTACACAAAAAATTACACAAGTAGTTAATTGTTTATAAATAAAGGCTTTAAAATTAATTGGACTTTGATACTGTAATTATTAGCTTTGAATTAAAAAACACATCACTTCAAAACCAAGCACATTTAAGTGCATATCTCTACTTCTAATTTCTTTAAATGCCTTGGATACTGTGACCAGTGTTGAGGCTGTAAGCATTTGATTGCTCAGCACCACATCTGAGATCAGATGTGGGGCAGTTGAACGGGGCGCAAGGAGGTCTCCAGTTGATGTTTGTTTATGGTCGTGATGTGCTGCTGGTTCAGTTCAGATAACTTTGGGCAAGCCTGTCCTCCTCCGCTGGTCTCTTCTGTTTGTACTTCCTTGGTTTTTAAATGAAACCTTTTTGTTTTTTTTGCTTCATCAGTTCTGCGCCCTTCTCCTTATACAGTGCTCACTGAACAAGAGCATTCAGTGCCTCTAAAAATGTGAACGCTGGGTGCAGTACAAATCATAAACCCTGCCCCCTGGGAACATGAGCCAGATGATATGACAGCTTTGATTGGCAGCCCGATACCATACCATCACTACTGTGTAGAATCTGGTGGCAAAATGCATCTCAAGAGTAAGATGGCTGCCCCCGTGTTCACAATATTTTGGCTTCACTTTTTGGGGCAGGAAGTTGTGAGGTCATTCCTTTTTATATACGGTCTATGGTGTTGATTCTAAATTTACCCTGTCTGGTGACTCACAGTGCATTGCGTCAATAAAATGAAGGAGATGCTCACACTGTCTCTCATTTCCATACTACATAGGCTACCAATTGTATACAGTATGTACTCCATACTATTGTGAAAGGAGTCCATTCATTTCATGCATGCGGATTGTAAGAAGAGTGTATTTTGAACATTAGTATATAGCGTGGAATGTACAGTAGCAGTGGTTTGTATGGAACTGGGGCACAGCCTTTATCTTACATATATTAGGAGACAAAACCTTGGCATCACAGTCCTGCTTTGTGTCTGTTGCTTAGTAACAGACGTCAGTGCTGGACGTTTCATCACATCGCTCGTTTTGGTGTCATTTTTACATGAGAGCCTAGTCAAGAGTGACAGAGAGTAGCAGTGAGCAGAAGGCGAGTGAGGTTATGAGACCGATTTGAGAGGTGAATGAGGCCAGTGGGTGAAGTTATTACAGTGTGACAGAGCAAATCCATTCTGTCCACAGTGTCCAGTCATAACTCTCGCCCCTCTGGCTGTCTGGAGCGTAGATATTAAATCTTTTTGATTCATTAGATCTTCTGCGTAGTCACCGGTCAGTCAGTGTCGACATGTAAACCAGCGGATGTGCTTAGTGTGATTGGATATGGACTCCCATCAGTCAAATAAACCAAACATGGGAATTCAGTTCATTTGAGCCGTTGGACTTTCCAAGTGATTTAAGTCCTTTATAATGTGACTAAATTAATTTGCCATTCAGTAGGCAGAAAATGAATTGAAGATCATTTTGATAATTGGTTAATTATGTAAGGAATTAAAAGCTACTATAATGTTCCTCCTCGGGAGCTACATTTACCAGTGATCCTATGATTTGACTCCCTCATCTGTTTAGTTCTGCTGTCATACTCTTTCTTACCCTGTCCAACTGTCTGCCTTTGTCTGTATGCCTCCTTATTTATTCTTCTGTCCTTTTCACCCCTTCTTTTCAACCTTTTTAATCAGTTTTCATCTCTTTCTCTGTCGTGTTATGGCAGGAGAAGAAGTAGCCCATGAAACTGGACATTGAGTATGTTGGCAAATAAACAGATCAAACAAATAAAAATCAGTGTTTGATACTTGACCTGAGTGTATGGGTTGCATGGAGAATAATGTGCTGAATATGCTGGGGTTCGTGGGGGTCAGGAATATCAAATATTTTTACTTTTTGCTCACTTCCAGTCATGCTGTAGCAGAGGAGCAGTCACTGATGTTATGACAATGATATGAAGATACTGTGAAGTTTGAAAATAATTCATTGTAACAAAGTAAATCCTGCTTTTTCCTCTCTTCCCCCTCACCCTTTTCTGTTCCAGATATTTCCCGAATATCACACTACTCTGGTGAGTACATGTCTGCCACTTTTGTTGAACTACCTGGTAGAAATGTAAGTTTTTGCTGTTTTAAAAGTATATAAAATGTCTAACATCCACCAGTAGATGACAGCAAGATAAGCAAAATTGGATTCCTTTGGTTGTGTCTGCATATGAAGTCACATATCAAGCTTTCATTATAAAGGTTTCCTTTACACCCTTATCGAACACGGCTTTGATTTTTTTTCTGAATTCTGTTCAATGTACATTTTTGATATGAATAGAAAGAATGTCGGTGACTTAAATTAGATTTTACACGGTAACTAGGATGGATTCACCTTTCTTTTTTAGTTTTGACACCACCTGATGTTCTTTGGCCTTAGTCCTGACTTAGACCTGAAGAGGGCTGACGTTACTGTGTCATGGTATAGATGGAGGTAGGATAATTACAGAGGTATAGGTAAGACATTTCAGGCTCTCTCCATGGCTGTTGCTAGGTAACCGTTGATCCTATGTCTATGAACTTGTCATTCCTGAGAGGAGCAGAAACATAGTTTACATTTCTTAAACTTAACTTTGGCAACTCTCAGCTGGCAGGCGGAGGCTAACTGAAACTTATAATGAGATGCTGCTTTCTAATTTTACTAGAAAGCAACAGCAGTATGGCAGCCAGTGTACACGGTGGATGAAATGAGCATGCATGGCCGATTAAAAATCCAAGTGCCGCTGATAAGGATCGCCGGTTTATTTTTAGTGGAGAGCAGACTGAACATAACGTTCAGCCTCTGTAACTCTGTTAAAACAGAATTTCTGACATATGTCTGACATAAACTGGACCAAAACTGCCCAGAGAGGGGTGGGGGGTTAGTACAGCAGGGAGAAAATACTTCTAGGCAAATTTTTGCTTCATTTCTCTGAATTTTGTACTAAATCCTAGTTAATGCAGCTTTAACACTTAACATTCATACTTACTGTTGTTTGTGTCCTGTTTAATCCAGAGTTGACTGTATCTGTGTATTTTTCTTGGTCAAGGCCAGTTCTCATAGAAAGCATTTTGTCACTTGCTTCTCCATGCAACAGATAAAACTGCAATATATCAAATGTGTCAGACCACACTCCCTCAGGGACATGTGCGTGAGCCACGCGTTACCCCTGGGCCCCCTAATGATGAAGGCCCCATAATCTTAAGTAAGCACTTATTTCAACACAAACCAGAATCTTTCCATAAACATAACCAAGTCAGTTTTATGCCTAAACCTAACCAAATATTAACCCATAGGGTTGTCGCATCATAAAACAGGATTAAAGATGTTGTCCTGCTGATAGGGATGTCAGTTCAGAGCAAGCTTTTATGTGTTGTTCTAGAAGGGATGGACAAAGGATGCAATTTGTTGTTTAATGTTGTTTATTGCTCTTATTTTGTGCAAAGTCTTAAATATCTAAAAATACACCTACATGACCTACATCATTTTGTATCACACAATAAGTGCACTGTTATTGTTGTCAGTGCTCTGGAGGTATAAGCCTATAGCCTTGGAGTGTTCACAATCATTTTGTGCTCTGGCCCATCAAAGGGATTGACTGCCAGAATCTGTTACTGCCGATGAAAAGTGGGCATTCTGCAGAAGCAGGTGAAAGGAGTTTGAGGAGGAGAGAGAGAGAACAGAGAGTGAGGACAGAGGGCAGCAGAGACCTGCTGTGGCCTGTGGAGGGAGACAGACGGACAGATGCACGGCTAGATGATGCAAGGAAATACAGAGGTGTTGCTAGAGTTCAGGGAGTGAAATGTATGCTTTTAATGGCTTAGCTCTGATCTTGGTGAAACCTTTTGTGTGTGTGTGTGTGTTGGGTTTGTGTGTTTATGAGTGCTTGTTTATCAAAGTAGTGTTGATTAAGAGTGTAGTACTATTACCATATTTATAAGTACTGTTCAATCAGCTCGCTTAGTTTCCACTGCAAGTCTCAATTATTATATTTCTATCTCTCTGTCTTCCTCCTTATCGCTCTCTCCTTCTCTGCTCTACACACACACACACACACACACACACACACACACACACACACATTGCCTGTTAGTGATTGGAGCTGCTTTTTCGCAGCATGGCCACAGCGGTCTATACTGAGAGCAGCATATACACAGCAGAGGAGAAACACTTGGCTCACACATGCACACACTCACTTTGAGTATTTTGCACACACACTCCCACGTTTGCCAACATTCACACACACACACACACACACACACACACACACACACACATACACAGTCTTGATTTTAAACCGTTGTGTATCTACACAAGTGCATACACATGCTCCCTGGTACGTGCATCTTCTTTCTGGCTTCCACACAAACGGACTCTCTCACTCTACAGTGTCTTTGGCGCACCCACTTTGACTGCTCAAAGATCGTGCTGCGTATAGTGAGTGAGTGTGTGTGTGTTTGGCTGCGGCTGTGTCTGTGTCTGTGTGTGTGTTTGAGGTTGAGAATGATGCTGTGATCTAGTTCCGCTGCTACAGAAGAAAGCCTTCAGAAGCCAGACTGAACGACACAGCTGACTGACTTGGAAATGGATTTTAGTGCATCGCATTTTTTTCCAGCATCATTTCTCTCTTCATAGTTCTGTTCCCATCCAGCCTGGCTTTGCATCACAGCTTGTTATTTATTTCTACCTCTTGTTTTTCCAGCTACACTTTGCCCTTCAAAGAGACTTTATGTCTCTTTGTGACATCAGACACCTGCTTTGACCTGGTTAACTTCTGCAGGCTCAGGGCATTGTGGGAAAGCTTCAGAGGATGCGAGGCTCAGCTTCTCCCTCGGGTTTCTCCGCTTTCTCCCTTCATCCCGCTCTCTTCATTTCTCTTTCTTTGTTCTAATTCATATTTTCTTTTTAGTTCTGTCTTTGTTTTTTGCTTGTTCTTCTTCAACTCATCCATTTCATCTCTCCCTGTCTCTTCTTTCCTCTCTATACCCTTCATTTCCCATCATCATTTCCTTTTTCCAGTCTGTCGGTCACTCTCATCTACCTCTCCCTCACTATGCTCCATTTCTCTATGCCCTTCTTTGCCCTACATTTTCATCTCTGTCTTCACTGCCAGGGTCTTTATCTTCTTTCTCTCATGCCATTTTAGCATCTCCTTCAGACATTACGGATTTACAGGCCAAAACTACTACCTTTCTGATGTCATTTTATGGGGTCTTACTTTGCCAGCAGAGGCTGCCAATGTTTTGTAACCTTGATGTTCGACATAAAATGCCAAACCTCGTGACTTGAGATTTATGGCTGCAGGAAAGCCTCCTCTTTTGACTTTCAAATCAAGGATTGATTAATTGGATCAGCAGCTCCACATAGAACTGAATTTGATCTTTTTTAAGGATTTATTGGACCTGTGGATGGCCTAATGGGTAGAGATATCATCCATCGGCCACAGAAGCCAGGCTGAAGTATCTGTTTTGAGAAGCCTATACCCAGCTGAAGTGTCCTTGAGCATCTTACTGAATTCTCTTCACCCACAAGGGCTCAGTCTCCCTGAAGTGAAGGAGCAAAAAGAAAAGCCTTTTCATACAGGAATCATCAGTACATACCACTTTGTACAGTGGGGAAAGGTTTTTTGGGATGAGGGAGAGGTTAAAAGTCATGACATATATTGGACAGATTGATGACTAGGACCTGGAATCCAAGCCACTTCCTCAAGCAAGGACGTAATACGATGTTTCAGCAAGATGTAGAGGAGTGAGTTACTTTTATTTTGGGTGCTGAAGTAAATTTGACTTTCATATTAGCTTTTGGATTATTTTTGCATACTAGACCACTATGAAAAGTGGAGTCAAATTTTTATGTCAGTGTTATTTAAAGGTGACGATGTGGAACATCTCCGTCAGCTGGACCCAGCAGATTTATAGCAGAGTGGCTGCTAGAGACTGGTGCTCTGTCCTCCTTCTGTGGGGTTGCTTGCTGTGTCAGTAGGTTTTACAGTACAGAGATTATATGACATCCTCTATTGCCTCTTACTGGGCTGTCTGCTACTAACAGCCCTGGGACAATGTCCTGTGGCTGCCTTGTGTGGTGGCTAAAAGTTGCAGAATGGATGTTACCACCCCTCTAGCCAGTGACGGCTTTGTTACCAGCACAGCATGTCTCAGTTTCTGAATTTTTTTTTTGATTTCCACCTCCCTGGACATTTTTCATAGCTGTGACAAGCCAGGTTAGGAGGTCTTAGCTCTTGGCTCTATGCTGTTTTTGGGGCCCTGTAGTTTTGTCTGGATCCTGTGGCCAGACATTGAAAAGCCCCCACGACAGAACAAATGGATAACAGCGGCTGCATCCCTCTCTGCTGGAGCAAGGGGGCCTGCATCTACGCACAGCACCCCCTGCAAAGTATGTATGTACAGTATGTCAATACAGACACATGCAAACTTCAGTACTACCAAATAATAAAATATAGTGTGGATATGCTATTGACTACTGTCCACAGTCTATTTTACTAGACCTTTATCATTCACAACTACAAATAAGTAATAGAGCCTTGTCATTGATTGTAAGATAGAAAACAATTTTAATATATACTGTACCTTTCTCCACCTTTGTGTCAGTTTACATAATGAGAAGTGTACTTTAATTCATCTTCACAGTTTCTCATTCTCATTTCTCTTCATCTTCCACTCTGCTTCGAAACATCTGGTTACACTGCTGGAGCTGTAGTATTTTGTCACTCGGTTGTTTTTAGTTTTTTGCTTCATTAGGTCTGAATCAGATAGTGGCACAAATCTAATTTATTTACTTCATCGCTCTGGGCTTTGGGAGAGGTTTCAATTGTAAAGTCATAATTCACTACTTGTTTTTAGCCGACTGTCACTGCTTATGAGAGAAGAGGTCCAGTTATATTCGGGATTAAAATATTCCCAACCAGCTAGTCTTTTTGTGATGTTTGTGACCACCAGAGAAATTTAAAAAAGCCTTGGTTTATAAAGCCAACTTGTTGTGATTGAGAATATCAGCTCATTTTCCAGAATTTCAGTCCTCACTTTTTGA